AATTATGGATTATAAACAATTGCTTCAAAGCCACAGATACATTATCAACCTATGGATCAACCGATTCAGCCGCGTTTTTTCTTTCTCGTTTTAATGCCATTGAACACGTTTTTTGATCAGATTGACAGCTACGGTGAGACGATCTCCCGTAAAAGCTCCGTAAAAGGTACGTGTTGTGATGTCTGTTTGCTTCCCCTGTTGCGAGATCGGATCGCTTAGATACTATACTTAAATAATCTGTGGAGTCTCAGCTTTAATCGGATATATTGTATGTGCAGTTTCGACAAGTAATAAGGGTATCTTTATTTTGAATTCTGTGCTAAAGTGCGTTAGCATTTTTTTAAAAAATGAATAAAACCGCACGTCCCTGCGTTGTGAATACCGCGCATGCGCATACCGCGGTTATCGCCACGACACGGTATATCGTTCAGCCTTATCTTTTCTCAGCCGTGGATCCACACACACACACACACACACACACACACACACACACACACACACACACACACACACACACACACACACACACACACACACACACACACACACACACACACACACACTGAGCGATGTATCGCAGACCCCACGCAGCAACCAGGAAACTACACCAGTAATCCAGCTCACACTGTCCGCTGCTCCGCTAGCCTCGCAACGTCTCGCCAACACTGCACCCAGACCCCACGCAGCATTCTCATATGTTTGTCATTACTGGTGTCATTTTCTGGTTGCTAACAAACGCCATTGTAACACATAAACACACATCAGAGCACAGTGGGCTCACAGGGAGGGGAGGGCAGGAGCTCCAACAAGCCGTTTAGGACACAGAGTGAATACACATACTTTACAGAGATGCTGTATGAGAAACCAATGTGAGTTTGGAACATTGAACAATGTAAATCTATTCTAGTAGACCTCAACAATGGAATTATGATCAGTAGAAATGGCCATGACATGGGACCTTTAATTTAATTTGGGGCCAACTTCTGTAAAGTTAGGAAGAGGCTTGGGGGCTCGATTTACTGTTCTGTACTAAGCTTATACGACATGCCATTTAATATACATTTCATTTTGTTTAATAATTGTAGTTTTCCTATTTACGGCAGAGGCAGGTATCCTAAATACATGTTCTGATCAAACAGGAAGCGAGACTGAGGCTCTGACAGTTCTCGCAGGCGCAGGCTGGTGTTTACTTTCTGCTCTGCAGCTACACTCTGGAGCTAACTCGCTAGCTACCGCCAATGCTTCTGCTACTCACTAAACAGTTTCAAACTAACTTGACTACGGCTGCTCACAATATGCACTTTGTTATCTTACATCACATATTCAATGCCAGAAAAAAATATCAACACTGCATTCTCATTTAAAAGGAGACTACCCACAACCGAATCACACAGCAATGGCTAGCTTTAAGCTTAGTAAATTAGCTCCAAACAGTTAGCAGATAGCTAGCAAACACATATACCGCAAATAAGGTATAGTTTAAAGCGTACACGTTCAGGAACTGGCAAATAGAGCACATTGGGGTGTTAATATTAGATGTTGTAAAAGAGCACACTGCTGATATACATGTCCTTCTCTTACCTTGTTTTGCTTTTGCTAGCGAAAAGTAAGCTCCGAGGCTAGCGCTGCCCGGGCCTAACGTTAGCCAAGCTGTCAAGGCCAAAATGCTAACTTCGCTCGCATAAACAAGTGTTAGGAGTTCCTCCGTTCCTTAAACACACTTTAAAGACAGGTATCGTCTTCCCGCGCAGAAACCTAAAGGGTAGACGAAGATGCAGGCCCTGAAGTTGTTTTGATTACAGTTCAATTCTCGCTATCCTGTAGCTTTCCGGCGCGTCGCCTCTGCTGCAGCGGATCCGGCGGGTCAGAGCACAGAGCGCCGTGACGTCACGAGGACAAACCCCAACAATGGGCGTCGCATGGCATATACTGTAACTGGGTTTTATATTTATGTATTGCATTACTGTATATGTCTACCCCTGACGTCAACCTTCTTGAATACAAACATTTATCAAATAAAAAAATGTACCAAAGAGACCAAAACAACCACATAAAGACCCAAAGATAAATTAAAAAAAACAAATACAAAGAGATAATTCCAATTGACTACAACGAGTCACAAAGTGGCAAAACAAAAGCATACAAACATTTACAAAATAACAAAAAAAACAGATAGATGTGTAAACAGTGTGGATCTTTGCAGTCTTTATCAACACAACTCAAATAAAGAGTCTAAACAAATACAAAGTCTGTGTTTCTCAACATCGCCTGTGGATCAAATTTGCACTGAAGCATCTGTCACAGGCTTTTTGATTATTTATTGATTAGGCCAATGTAGGCTCATATTTATTTGATACTGTGATTATTAAAGAATAGTCTTTTTTTAAGTCTGTCAAAATCTATTTTTAAGACCACTATTTCAATGGATACTGTATTTTTAAAGTGCTGATCCCAAATTATAATAATAATAATGCAGATGACACTATCATTTAAAAATAATCTGCCTTTTCCTTTCAAGCTTGCTAGCATGACTTGAGCTGCGAGGCATTCTTAACTTCAATCTCTACCCTCTCTTGACATGTTCACAATACTTGAATCAGTTTGACAGAATATGTTGTTACTTTTAATAAGGCACACACTTTGCCTTGGTTGTTTGTATGGTTCTTGTGTGCTTATGTTATCTGTAGCTGTTTGAACTTGTTCATGAAACGTTTTGTTTTTCCCCTTGCAACACTAACCTGGCAGAATAAATACTCTCTGCAAAACAAGTCTTTTCCAAGGCCGCTGTACCTGCTGGCAGCACCAGGTTCTTTTTAATCTGAAAGGAAAGATAACTACCTCCAATGCCCTGCACCTTCATCCTGATGCTCAAACACCACTCTATTGTTTTAACAGGACAGGCTTTCTGTAAGAAGAGAATGGAACCTCCTGGACAGCTCAGGATGGGGACATGCAGGCTGACCTGGACCAGAAGCAGATCATTAGGACCAATGTCAGCCAAATCTGATCATGTGGTCATCAACGAACTGAACCTGCAGCAGCCTGGCAGTACAGCAGGGCTGGAAAACACAGGGGCTCCAGGTGGAGGTCGTCATAGAGGCTTTGTAGCCACATCTACCCCCAGGCTACTGAAGGGATGAGGGTCCGAGGACAGGCGTTCCTTTTTCAAACATCATTTTTGTTGAAGAATAATATTTTGAAATGACTTTTACTTATAGCTCAGAAATAAAAGCTATTTGTAATGAATAGATTTGACTCCACTGAAGAGAGGGGTTCACAGTTAGATGCTATTGACACTAAACGCTTTTTGTTCAAGGACATGTATTACATGATGAGTTATTGTAACAATGCAGAGCCTGGTTCGATTTGTCCGCTCTCAACTGAGAGGATGGTGTTCGTGGTGCTCAGAGCACTGAGTACATTAGAAAAAGTCACTGAAACATTTTCATTTGGAACACGTTCCACATAAGAACGAGTCCTTGTCCTGTTGACATGCATTTACCAAAGTACTGTATATCAGTTCACATAAACTCAGTATTAACTTTTTACTTCACTACAACTGGTTGACAGCTTTAGTTACTTCACAGATTAAGAAATGTAATACGAAAACTACACGTTTCATAAATCTACAAAACATCTATATTAAATAGTTCAAATTAGCAACATCACATAGTGAATTACTCACAGGAGACCTATCATGCAAAATGCACTTTTATACGTCTTTCATACATGAATATGTGTCCCCGGTGTGTCAGGGAACTCACCAAGTGTCAGAAAACACAACCCTCTCTCATTTCCTCCATACCCAAATCTCTAAAAACGGGGCTGCAACAGATCTGATACAGACTGATACAGATTTGAAATATCTCTGACGTCAGAAACAAGGAGCTCCGCCTATATGGGCAACTCTCCACCTATCAGGAGGGGACAACCACTGCCATTGCCGTTCGAAAGCGCTGGAGACGCTGTAGTACATATGCCAGGCCTGTAGGTGGAGCTGTAGTCTGCCACAAAAGCAGCGAAGAAGACTTCTCACAGAATCAGCCCTTGCAAAAACAGGGCTGGAAAAGAGCAAATAGAGCGAAATGAGGCATGGCTAAAATGCATGATCTGTTTGGTATTTAAAAAAAAAAAAATTGCAGACATGTTTTATATAGGTATGGCCCTACAATATATTATTCAAATATAGCAGGATAGGTCCACTTTAAAGGATTAATAATGCTTTATTTTTAATGGACTATCTTCATACCACACTATAAGTAAATGATCACAATATTAATTAATTCCTAAGAAAAAATAAAGTTAATTTAGGTCCTGTAACTATTTCACCAGCACTTACTATGACTTGCTTGAAGTGAATATATCTGCACTGTTGTTATCCTTAGTTTGAATCTCTAAGGTTCTTTGCACTTATTGTGAGTCGCCTTGGATAAAAGCGTCAGTCAAATCTAATGTAAATAGATTACAGGAAAGACACTACATCTGACGAGTCTAATTGTATTATCCAGGTTCAAACAGTGAAGTTTCAGTGTCAGTTACCCACAATTACCCCAGCAGTGGGCGTTCCTGTCCATTTCTCTAAAATAATCAGGGTCAACGTCAAGTAAGCAGCATCACAGGTTTAACACCGATCACAGCTAATCTGCTTCATCAGGAGAAGGTAGGTTTGATCAGATCTGATTGACAAGAAAACAAGCTGTGAGATTTTGATTTATTTGTTAAATGTTTCTGCACCACAGTAAGTCACAACATTACCTTGAACGTTTTCTCAGTAAACCAGATGGTCCTTAGTTTAGAAGAAAAGTTACAAAAACTCCAAACAGCTTTTAGTGTTCTAGTTTTGGAGAAAACTAAAAAAGGTACACAGCAGTGTTATCAGGCTGAGCTTACACCAACCAGCATACTTATCCTCAACAATGTTTACACAAAATCCTTTCAAGCTTTCAAGTCATTCCAGCTTGTTCATTCAAGTGTTCCTGGAAAAAGTTGGTGAACTAAAATTACAACACAAAAAAATAGGTTTAATCCGTCTTTATTTTGCAAATACATGCATGTGTGAAGCAGTCCGCTTCTGTCCTTTGCTTAGTCAAAGACATCAGCTCACATCCCGTAACAGAAACCTGCCTGAGAGCAGCAACAGACAGATTTACATTTTCAAAATACATTACTAAATTGTCATATTTAATTATTCTCAGATATTTTTTAATTACCATAGAACAAACTAACAAAGCCAGAAATCCAAGAGTAGAGGGGAGAGATCTAAAAGAGGGCCTCAAAGAAGAGGGGACAGTTTGCATTTCACACAGGAGACTTTACTTCAGACAGACTGCAACACTTCCCATACACACCTCAAGTCACACAAGCACATCAAGAGCATTACCGAGCGCACATGCCGCATCCTTTAAAGCACACATCCACACAGATCTGACTGACAGAACAGAATGCTGCTCATACATCCTCCATCAACCCACTGACCATCCTCACTGAAGCAGCTCTCTAGGAATACATGCTTCCTCAGGGGTGTGTGTGGAAAAGAACAAAAGGTAGAAGGACTTTTGCCCCATTATCTTCCAATCAGGAAGATGTCCCTTATATTTTATACATTCACATCTAATCATCAGATTGTCTATATCATTAAGGATAAACAAAGGGTATGCAAACACTGAACATGAAAAGGAAAACAGCTGCTGCTCTCTATGGGTCAGTGTCTGGTGTTGGTGGAACGAACCTGCTGTGACATCACCCACTGGGGAAGTGCTTTAGCGTTTACCCAATGAGAGCAGAGGAACACATGTTTCAGTGTTGAATTACCATTTAAATAAAGGGAAGGAAAATAAACAATGCCTGCTTTATTTAGCCTTACAGGAAAGTTAGGGTGCTCCATGAATTGGCTTTGCAACTGTGTTGTTGGCTCTGGAGCTGCAATACAGACTGCTTCAAGAAGAGGTACAGTCGCTTGAATGCTGAAAACAGAAGTAACAGTGAGATAGCCCGGTGGCTGTGGTACATGCCGTCTCTCCAAATCTTTACTTTTCACACAAAGAGAAGTAGAAGAAAAACCTGAGGTCGGGTATTGTAGAGAATTTTGGTGAATACAAATGCACCTTGCTTCTTTAAAATATAACACTAATTTCACATTAGACGTGGCTACGCAGAGCCTGGGTTAACAGAATGTGGTGCTGTACCAAGGTATTCCACGGAGTGATTCGGAGGCAGTAAACTCTGTAACAGTAAGAAGAAACGGTGACTGGATGGGTCCGTTTTTAAAACACACCAGATAACAGGTTGCAATTCACTGAAGAAGTGTTAGTGAGGCTGGTGAAGGAAACACCTGAGATCTGTTTATCTACGGATGGGCCAGGACATGGAGGTCAGTGTGGAGTGTCACAGTAATGGGCACTGCTCACATGTTGGTGAATGGATCCATAAAGCAGGCATGGGTCTGTGCATTATTTATATTTGAACACTGGAACTGTATTTGTACTACTACAAGTCCCTTTGATTTGTATGGGGTAAAGGGAGGAAGGGAAGATGTTGGAGAAAGGCAAATCCTCTCCTTCTGGAGGATATTAGGTCATCATCCAGGAGCCGTTTACTGTGATGGAGGACAGAAACACAAACGTCATTAGAACTGTCAGCACATTCTGAAAGTGTATCCATTTATTACACAATTCTAAATCATTTCTAAAGAGCATTTGAACATGAACTACAGGAACATGGATGTGAAGGGTGGACATGTTTTAAATAACAACTCTGTCATGTCCACAGCACACAGGATAAGGTTGTTCAGAGAAAAACAAAGAAATGTGTAAGAATATTTACTTTCTTTCCATTTTCCTAGGTTATGACCCATTTGAACAAACTAAACGTTACTTATCATTCAACTTTTATCTGAACCGACTTGCATACAATACTGTAGTCGTGCATGTGGGAGCAATTTGGGGTTAGGCATGTTGCCCAAGGACACTGTGGCATTTAGCCCGTTTGAATTACGCCTATAAATCCCCTAAGCCACAGCCCCCCCCCTCCTAAAAACTTCTGCCAGCTGAAACTCGGGCACCATGCAAAGCCTATGCCAACATATCAGCAGTTGCCTGTTTCTAACATATTGCCCTTCCCTTCATCATATTAATCGATGGTCGGAATAATAAAGGCTCAGTACCTTATTTGGAACTACTGCATTTGCATCCTAAGAAGACGTCGCCTACCCTGAGTAGCAAAGTTTAAAACGTGTTAGAGTGACTCGTTGAAAGCCCACGCTGATTGAAAGCAAGCGTCAACATGCATTTCATTTCTCGTTAAACCAAAGCATGATAGTACAAAAAAAAGTTAAGACTGCAATCACTGGGAAACATTTGCAATGGACTCTTGTCACTTTTAAACTGATCTTCATCTATACACACATAGATCAGTCTGAAACAAAGTTCACTGGTACCTCAGGGGCGTGGTCCTCCTCTGGGGCTGCGATGACTCTACCAGTCATGGAGCTCACGCCCAGCACCTTGGGCCGCTTCTCAGCTTTAGGTGCTCCTTCAAGAACCACAACGATGTACTCTCTCTGGGGACCCTCTGCCAAGGTCTCTGCAGGGGCTTCTACTACTGGTGCCACCTCTACTGGTGCAGGGGCTTCTTCTACTGGTGCTGGGGCTTCTTCTACTGGTGCAGGGGCTTCTTCTACTGGTGCCACCTCTACTGGTGCAGGGGCTTCTTCTACTGGTGCTGGGGCTTCTTCTACTGGTGCTGGGGCTTCTTCTACTGGTGCCACCTCTACTGGTGCAGGGGCTTCTTCTACTGGTGCCACCTCTACTGGTGCAGGGGCTTCTTCTACTGGTGCAGGGGCTTCTTCTACTGGTGCCACCTCTACTGGTGCAGGGGCTTCTTCTACTGGTGCCACCTCTACTGGTGCAGGGGCTTCTTCTACTTGGGCAACCTCTACTGGTGCAGGGGCTTCTTCTACTTGGGCAACCTCTACTGGTGCAGGGGCTTCTTCTACTGGTGCAGGGGCTTCTTCTACTGGTGCCACCTCTACTGGTGCAGGGGCTTCTTCTACTGGTGCCACCTCTACTGGTGCAGGGGCTTCTTCTACTGGTGCCACCTCTACTGGTGCAGGGGCTTCTTCTACTGGTGCCACCTCTACTGGTGCAGGGGCTTCTTCTACTGATGGCAGGGGTTCCTTGTCTTCACCAGCGGTTGCCAACTCTTCCTTGTCTTCAGTTATCTCTGGAGCCTCTAGAGCAGAGGCAGCGGCCAGCGGCACTGAAACACAAAATCCAGCCATCCAAACATCACTGGTGCTCAAGTTAAAGTCTGTTACAGTCCTCTCTGTTGGACAAGCAACGCATTTCAGAACTGCCATTTCTTGTTAGTATTTCACCAGAATATACATGTTGGTGTATGTAGGTCATCATGCACCGTTCCTAGAAGTGCAAACCGTGCAGAAAGAAAGGGTTTTCTCAGAAGTCCCAGTGCAAAGTGATCAAGCAGGTTTAGTGATAAGGAAAAGCTATGACATTTAAATGCATTTATTAAGTGAGCATTTGAATTATGATTAATAACTGAAAATCTACAATAGCTCCAAAGACATACATTCACATACATTTAGAAATTAAAAATTATGTTTTTTTAATTTTAGAGTGGATTGAAGGGTTAGAAATATCCTTCCTAAAAGCTTCCGATACAAATGACGTTAAATAGACAAATTAAAGACCACAGTAAAGCTTTCCAGATTGAGAAAAGTTTTATTGTGTGGTTGATGAATTACCATTCACAGTACTCATTTTCCAGTTATAAGCTAAATAAAAATATGATCACATAAGTTAAATAACTTGTAATCTAATGAGCTCTTAAGATTTTCACATTACACTTAGGAAAAGAACACACTAGCAGTTACAGAGTCTGCAAAGGGCCATCTCGCCCTGAGATGGATAAACAGAGATTTCAATGTAACACAGCGATTGGTCAAATCCCGTAAATTAGCATTATGGCCTTCATTTCTAAAAGATACCAATGATATCACAGCATTTGAGGGGTGTTCCTGCTTGTTCTCAGAGTTCGTTTACTACAGAATTAGCTGGTGTTCAGTCATGTTAAATAAGGGCCGATACTTATGCATGTATGTATTCACAGTGATCACTTTTATTTCACCCATAACTGCAAAGAGTCTGTGGCGCGCAGCTGTAAATCGGAAGGAACCGGTTGAGAAGATGAGCTGCTGCTTTTAAACATCCCTCGGCCCATAATAATCTGAACAAATATACACATCGATCTACACTGCACACCAGAAAAACAAACACTTCATTTGCAGAGTGTCGGCCTCTATACCCATTCCAATAAATTAAATACAGTGAAAATAGACATTTTACGGAAGACAGAAGAGACAGATCAATAAGAGGTGAACCCAGGCACCTGAGAAGCAGCTAACCCTTCAGTGGTTGTGACAGTGACTGGAAGTCACTGCTCATTATTCCCATTGTGTGAGGGAAGAAAAACACCTGGTGGTTAGAGATAGTGGTAGTGTGTGTCTCCCTGTAGTGCAAGTATGAACCTCAAGCCTCAGGCCTCAGGGGCAGCTGCCTCCCCCCCCTCAGGTGCAGCAGGCGTACCGTTGCTGCCGGACTCCTCGGCGGCGGCTGGTTCTGCGCCCGCCTCGGCAGCCTCCTCCACAGCCTCAGCTGCGTGAGCCACTTCTTCTGCCACAGTCTCCACTTCATGCGCCACCTCGGCAACTTCCTCCGCTACCTCGGCAACTTCCTCCGCCACCTCGGCAACGACCTCCGCCACCTCGGCAACGACCTCCGCCACCTCGGCAACGACCTCAGCAACTGCCTCTGCTACGCTCTCCACCTCCCCATCAGCAGCCTCCTCTGCTCCGACCTCAGCCTCTTCAGCGGCCTCCTCCTCCTCGGCTGCTGCTGCCTCCTCCTCCTCCTCCTCCTCTCCAGCTGGAACACAAGAACCAGAAGACGTGCATCAGCCAGAGCAGGGCTAACACCTGCCGTTGTGCTGAACTAAAACTAATAGCTTGTTGAATAAACATTGTTCAATTAAAACAAGTTGAACTGAACTAAAAGTCATTACATTTTGTTTCAGTTTATTTTCTCTGATGTTCCATTTAAACTTGGTGCATTATTTTGTAAACTTGACATCACAATGATGATTATAAAATAGTTACATTGTGCCTCACAATTGATCAGTAGCTAGGTTTCCATCCAGTTGGATGAGGTGTAATGCCTACAAAATGTTGTTATGCACAGTCAAATGTAGGGCATTCACTTTTTGTTGGAAAGTCACAATGTAGAAAATAATTAGCAGAGTAACAATCTTACTGAATTCAAAATAAGAGGAAATAAACATTGGTACACTGATGAAGAGTTGGGTACAAGTCACCTGACTGTGTCCCGGTTGCACGCTCCAACAGGTCAACTATCTACGCTGAGAAGTGATGCCTTGAAGCATTTTGGATTTAACACCATGGATAAAAGAAATCATGGATAAAACAAATGGAACCCTGCAGCTCTGTGACTCTTCAACTTTTAGCAAGCTGCTGCCTGCCATTGATCAGTTAGCCTCTGTGTATCAGAACTTAATATCAACTCTGTGACAACCAGAGAGGGACAGTTGGATGGAAACATAGCTACTAACAGCTGTTCATGCTTTCCCTGCAGTCTGATCCAGAAGGATTACCTTTAGATCACTGACTAACAAATACTACATCTGAGGAGACACATTCACGACATAAAGTGCATGCAACTCAAGGACAGGAAGGAGAACGACAGACAAGAAAGTGAGGAGGGGGGAGGGAAGGGGAGGAGAGGGTTAGGATGCAGGGTAGAGGGGGTCAAGGTGAATCTTGGTTCTTACCATCCAATAAAAAAAAAACTATCTGAACTCTGAAAGAGTCTGACACTGAGACGGCCCAGTGGGTTGTGAGTCTTTAATCTTTAACATCCAACACAAACACACCAAGTGGTGGGACGGCTGCTACACACTCCAGCATGGACTGTTGGGGGGGATAGACGACTGCTGGCACAGTGGGGTTTCATGATAACGTGGTTCATTCTTGAGAATACAACCTCCTCCCCACTGAAGTGGACAATTTGAAACGTTTTTAGAAATACCTCAAATCTTCCTCCTCATGGAAACACAGCAGTCTCCTGGATAATGTGCCAACTATAGGCTTTTCTGTTATAGCCTTCATTGGGTGGTAAGTGATATTTGAGCATTGACGCGTATGAAAACAAATGACATTATTAATACTATTTTCCTTTTTTTATCTATTGAAAGATGTCCACTGCGTTAAGTTGAGCTCAATTGGGAAGGGGGGGGGAGAATGTTTATCAGTTATTAATAAAGAGGCCTTTGAGATTCCAAATGCAGAAGACTGTCAGTGAGCAGATAAATACGCAGTGTACTGCCCGTTGGATGATGCTAACAGACTCATATCACTCACAACAGTGCATGCTAATGTGTTAGCATGGACGTCCCACATAAACAATGCCATTCTTTTTAGCTTCAACCCTAGAGTTTTGTTGAACATTTACAGTTGCCAAAGAAAAATCTGTCAGAATTGGTTTGAAATAATTCGATCAAGTCCATTTTCCTCTTCAGACCAAACTAACATAAAGCAGCAAAAAAAGAATCTTCACAAAAATGTCCCGAATATCCTTTGTTAGCAGTACAGGAGAGGGGGGGGGTCTGTTTCCCATTCAGATCCAAAGAGTCCAGTGCTAGGAGGAATCTCCGGCCACAGAGGACCTTAGCTTTAGCATTACACTGAAAGAGTAAAGACAGAGACAGTTAGAGCAAGGGGGAAGAATCAAATCTGGATCTTTCAAAAAGGCCAAGTTTAAAAAAAGAAACATTTACAGAACAATCTCATCATCAATGTTACATCAACCACAGAGTACAGATGCACTGGTGATGGTAATGGGAGCGCTATAAGCCAGCTCTGTGTCTTGATTTAAAGACTGTTTTAACTAAAGCCTTTTCCAACACATAAGGTACGAAGACTCGGTTTGAATCTAAAGTCTCCGACACAGATACGCAGAACACAATGAAGAGAGGGAGGGGCTGGGAGCAAGAGAGGGGAGACATTTGTTGACGGGGTGGAGAGACTGAGGTCACATGGGAGGTTCAAATGCAAAGTATAGAGCTCCAGGAAAGCTCAGAGGTTAGACCTGCAGTCCGCTGGCTTCCAGAGCCAATCAACAAGTCTTCCCCTCTCTCCCCGTTCACCTCTGCATCTCCAATAAAAAAGGCACTCTTTGGCCCAAAGCATAGCCATGACTAATGTGTATGATTCCAAACTAAATACATCTTGCTTTGGTCTGCTGTTGTTATATCATTTCAATGCTATTTGACTGTCTGCGTGAACCATGCCTGGCCTACTCAAACCATGGAACCATGAGTGGAAAAGACGCACATTGAGTGAACATGAGCTTCTAAAGCCACCGGCGTTAGTGTCAGTTAGTTGAACGATAGAAGCCCAATCAAGCCAATGCAAACCTCTCTGAGAGCATTCAGAAAGTGATGATGAATCATGCCAATTAGCTGCGTGACACAACTTACCCTCATCTTCCTCTTTACCTGCAAGCAAACACAACCGTCAGTGCCCGTTTCACAGAGAAACAAGCCACTTCAGATGTGGAGCACTAAAGACATGCAGGGTTAAGCAATGGAAACAACTCGGTCTGTTTAATGTTCTCTTTACGCATTCTGCTTCACATGAAACATTTCAATCAATTGAGTTCTATCCATCACTGGGTCATGCCAGAGGAGCATTCATGTACCAAGGCATATTATCTGCCCATTATATCTTAGAATGTGTGTGTGCAAAAAGTGCATCATTTGGTAGGTACAGTAAGTGGACCAATCATTCCTCTCGGGACCAAAAGCTGCAGATCGTAAGCTCTCAAAGGTTGTTCTTCATTTCATGTGATGCATACAACATAATCATGTTGATACCAGCAGTGAGACAGACTCAGCCAAATTGTTTACAAAGTGGATTTATCTCTCGTTTCTACAATGTGCCGTTACTGCTATCAGAACACAAGCAATTGCCATATTTGCTCATTCCATACACGCCGAGTGGATCGCGTAAACCAATCTCCTGAGATCAAGAGATATCGAAGAGGATACACACAGTCGCGTGCTGGAGTGGATCATGTTTGTGTAAGAAGGAAATGAACTTGTGTTGGGGAGAGGGGGTTTCAGGACAGGAAGTGCAAAGGTATTGGACAGCAAATATATACAGTATATAGCATATATTTGATTTTTTTTGTGGAGCATACAAGGCCAATCACAGTTTACTCAAGCTGGTACCCAGCATGCACCTGGCTGGTGTCCGCTGTAGGAACAGCTTGTGGGCTAACCAGGACACAGCGAGTGAAGGCTGTCTTTATATTCAAACTTGGTGCTCAAAAGTCAAAGTTGATGAACAATGTTTCTCTAATGCAGGCCACAGTATCTGCCTACAGCTTTAACTATTGTTTTTGTTTCTTTACATTGTTGCAAATTCAAAAATTAGACTGCTACAGTTTCTGTTCCACCGCGTGTCGGATAATGGACTCCGCAACACTTCATTGTGTAACCCTGTTTAGCATAATACTAACAAAAGATCCTTGAATCCGGGAAAGGGAAAACTAACAGATGAGTTACCCTAGGAGCTTTGAAACAAAAGTATTTGCCAAAAGAACCCCAGCTATAAGGAGGTCCACCCTAACCTGGGTTCTACCTACACAACAAGAACAAGAGCAACTGAGCAAAGTTTGATCAAGAATCGTTTTTAGCCTCAAAAACATGAGCTGGTGTAACCTGCTGAAGTGTGTGGAGCAGTGGCTGAGAAATGCTTACTCTTAGGTGGCCAAGGTTTAGGGACCCACTCCGTCTTGGGCCGGGCTTTGATTTCTGAGATGCGATCATTGAACCTGTTGCCGTCAGAAGACACGGTGCTGTAGGCCTGTGGAGAGAGGAAAGAGTCACAACTTGAGCATTCTACTCATTTCCTATTCCAGAAGTGGCTCATTTCAGATCCTGCGCAAATGATGTTATTTGATAAGATAAGCTTGTTGGTTCTGGATGGTCACATATCATTGTTGTTAAACAAGTAAGGGATGCTTATCACCCCGTCGGGGTTCTTTTCTCATTAATGACCAGCTCACTGCACATTACCCTGCTTATTACACGGCTACTTAATTATTCAATTGAGTATTTGACTCACTATACTGATTTTAATTATTTTATTGATTTAGGAATGATCATATTGCTTCCAAAAAGAAATTAAAAGTCTGTTCCGCGGCGTACCAATGGCTGAATCTTCCGCCACAACAGCGTAACTTAAACGGCAGCACTGATTGAGGTTTTCTAACTGTTCGAGTCTGTTCACAGACAAGTCTTTAAAAGTCTTGTAATAAGTGAAGGTTATATCTTCAGAGAATAGAAACAATAGAACTTACGTAGGACACCGAAGCAACCAAGGCTCCTCCACACAGCAGGCTGTACAATATATTCTCTACGGAGCCCCCGGGCATGGAGGACATCGGACGCCGCTGCACAACTGAAAAGGGTTAAAAAAGTCAACGTTAGACCTTTCTCAAAAATGTCCTCAATTATGTGATAACGTGTTTGATTTCTCCAAATGGAGCCTGGAGCATTGGTATGTGTTCCCACTTTCACCTCCCTCCAGGATCCCAGAGGGACCGGTTTTATGAAAGGAATCGTGACCATGGAGCATTTCAGACAAGGATCCACCTTGCATCCCCATTTCACATCTGCAGCTCTGCAGGCTTTAAAACCCCACAGGGAGGAGTAATGTGCTGCAGGCCCAGCAGCATCAGGCTGTGTACAGAGGATCGGGAGCAGCAGCCTAAGGCGCTCTGCTGGCTCATGATAACCATATAAATATGCATGTCAGGGCTTGCTTGAAGCCTCAAAGGTGATACTCTGTACACACCCTTGGAAAGAAGACAGAAAGTTGTTTAGTATGTCATCTGTTGTTAAGCATACAGGCAGTAAGGAGCTTTACAATTCTGCACACAGTAACGGCCCGTCTACACAGCAGCGTTAAAAAAATCTTCCAACGCTTCTGCCCATTGACATTGAATGGGGTGACGTCACTTTGCCTCGCTTTTCGCCGAACTGCATTGTGGGAAGCAAAGCAAAGATTTCCAGGATTCAAAAGTTGAGCAATGTTCAACTTTTGAAGCTGAGGTGGAAGCGTCAGCCAATCAAATCCCGTTTATGCAAATCTGACAGTACAAGCGCTAGCCAATCAAACCGCGTGCAAGCTGGGAGAGCCAGACCGCAGTTCATTTCCTCATATGCCAAAAGATGGAGGAGAAATTAGTTATTGCGGTAGCAATTCACCCGGTTCTTTATGACCAGTCGCTAATAACTTACCGGGATACAAACCGGAGGAAGCAGGCATGGAGGGAGGTGGCAGAGGCAGTGGGTGAAACTGGTAGGTTTTCGCCTGTTTGGGGATTTTATATCCAGTTTACTTCGTTTTAACATTGCTATTGCTTCGTATGTCGGGGGCGGGAGATTCATGTGATTGGTTGTTGGTCGCAAAAAATCCCCAAGCTTTCAGAAACGCCCACCTCCAAGATTTTTTTTAACGCTGCTGTGTGGACGGGCCGATACTCTGTACACACCCTTGGAAAGGAGACAGAAAGTTGTTTCGTATGTCATCTGTTGTTAAGCATACAGCAAGGAGCTTTACAATTCTGCACACAGTAAGATTAGGCACATTTGGTGCGGAACCATTCTTTTATTGAGTTTGCCATTATCTTGACTGTGGGAATATTTAACAATATGAAAAAGGAAAGAGAAAATCCAACGCTGTTTACGATGAAACATTTTGACCCCTGTCAGCATTACTTTCTGATACTGCTGACAGCCGCTTTTCTTAAACCCTTTGTCGCCATGCCAACCCTCACAGCTGACCCTGTCATGCCAACGCACACCACCGGCTGAATTAAAGTGAAATCAATGTGGAGCACTTTAATAAAATGCTAGTTTTCTTGAGGGAAGACCCCTAAACACCCAACCAAATATGAGCATGTTAAGGTTTTATATATTTTGATCATTATCTAAATTCAAACACAAATCTACAGTCCAAAAGCACCCATAATAATTTCATACATAAAAAGGGGACAAATGAATAGCTTCAAATTGTTTAAAAATGTCCTCTATGAGGCAACCAGTCATATTATAATATGAGGTTAAGGGCGATGGAGCTTTGTCCTGTCCACTGTTAAGGGTATTAAACTCTACGTATTCTCAGGAACTAATCCCCTATCCAGGGCTCTGGCACGACTTATATACACTGGCTAATCGGCTCAAGAGCTGGGGGTTCAGGTGGGAGCGTTCATGAGCAGTGGAGGGGACGCAGGTCAACGACTCACTGGATTAGACCATGATACCATCCTCTGGTTAAGTGGGACCACTGGAGTGGAGAGGGGCTTCATGGGTCTCTTTACGGAGTGGACATCTCTGTCATGTAATCTCTTGAGAGGCCACCAGTCGTACCTGGCAGTAAGACAACAGGTCAGCCTGTGTGGGAAGGCTTGCATGCTCGCATCTTTTTTTAGACATTTAGGACACAGAAACCTGAAGGAGTTGCCTGAAAGCAGTCAGAGGCCAGTCACTCTGGACATTAGAGAGGAAGGCCAAGCAACAACATGTTTTTATTAAAGTGCAATTACTGCTACCTGACTATTCAGAAGCAACGTCAGCTGCAAGCAAATGCCATTATGGTGAAGCAGAGTGACTGTTTTGTGCTTAAGTCTCATTTTGGTATCTTAAGTTACCTTAAATTAAGAGGTTCTCTTTGACAAACACAATGCCCTAGCCTGAAAAAACCTGTGGAGGTAAGCTGGAATGAGGACTTGGATACAGCTGGCAGACAGAGTAGTGTGTTCTGGAGCTCTGCAGCTCTGCAGGCTGCATTAGCTCACAGCACACTGCCCACACCTTCATTCTCCTCCATGCTTATGTAAGGTCATCACAGACACACTGCAGAGGTGTCCCACGTGCCTCTGCACTCTTTACATTACAACTCCGTCACACCACGTGACTGACAGCCATGTTCCACCACACAGTGTTATATCTCCACGCTGCCTGCTGAAGGTCACACTCATGTATACATGCAGTGGCCTTCATCAATCTGGCAATATGTAAGGAACCTTCATTGACCTTTGCCTCACAAAGAACCTGCGTGGCTCGTTTTTTTAAGCATTAATGTTTCGGCTCAAGTGACATTGCAGTATAAAACAGAACACGTATTACACAAGCTGTGAATGTATCCGACAGTGTGCAGCTCTGTTTAACGCTCAGCAGGGGGCACACAGCAAGTGTTCAGTGTCATTGTAATGCCTACAGCTTAAAGTACAACCATACCTCAACGAGAAACTCGCCGAACAGACCACATAATTATGAATAAGAGACTCTAATGCACAGATGTGTTGGAGGCCAGCTCCTGTCACAGTCCCGCTGACCTTCACATCTCAGGCAGCCATTGGCATTCCTGCGCTCGGGGATGCAGCTATGCAGTGTAATTCGCACGAGGACACGGTGTACTATTCCTGTGAATTCAGTCACAGGCTGCCTCAGACAAAGAGACCGCCTCCCGTTACACCACAGAGTGTCAGAACCACATTGTGTGAAAGGGAATAATTAAAAAAATGCTATATTTTCTCTTCTGCTAATGAAACTCACCATCTCGGGGCAACCTGTAGGCTGCTTTCCGCGCCAGAGGCCCACACCTCTGCCAAGCTGCTCTGCAGGAAAACATCGCTGCTCTCCGGTTTGTCTCCGGTGTGTGTCCGGGCTGCTCTCACTGAGGCTGGCTGCACGGCTCGGATCGGCGAAACGTGTGCTGTGGGGGGCGGAGGACAGACTGCTCTCTGTTGCGTGTTGCCGGTGTATGAAGGGTGCTCACTGCCAAAGAGCGAGAGCAAGTGAAAGGATGTATGAGAAGTCGTTAAGACCCCGGAAGAGAAGGCGGTACTAATCAGCTGGCTGTAGTAATCAAGCCCAAGCCCTGCAGGACGTGCGCCGGTGTAGGTACCAGGGCTGTTTCTCAGGCCATTTCTCAATGTCGAGTATACCTGCTGCAGAGCCACTATTTCAAGTATACTCCGCCATCGAGTGGCGCCGAATGCTGGGCATTTAACATGCATTTAAACAGTCCTTCGGCGCCACTTGATGACGTAGTATAGGCCTACTTGAAATAGTGGTTCTGCAGCAGGTTTACTCGACATTGAGAAACGGCCTCAATGTCGAGTAATACATCCATGGTAGTAATAGGCGCTTTCACACCGGAGTACTTTTCCCCCCGAACTAGGCTGATCGGGGGGGGGGAGGGGGATTTGGTTTCACACCAAAAAGGATCTGGAACTAGTCCCTAGTTCGAGCAAACCTTTTCCCCCCGAACTAGGCTGATCAAGTCCCTAGTTCGAGCAAACCTTTTCACCCTCAGATAGTCCCTGCTGAGAGGTAGTACTTTTCTGAGGAGGAAATGGTTCGTGGGTGTGTCGGCCACACTATCAATTTCTGACTGGGTGGGCGAATTGCAAACCACGCCCCGTAAAAAGTTTTGTGAAGCCGCCATTTTATTTGCTCGAATTAGCCTTAGCATTAGCCCAGCGCCCCAATGGAGAGAGACTAATTTATGTCAACACAAAAAGAAACATGGGAGCGGTGGAGTGATGAGGAGGTGTCAGCGCTTCTGGCGATTTACTCGGAAGACACGACCCAGCAGCTTCATTTGTCAGAAGCATTTTGACGGGTGATTAATCGCCGCAGTGAGCGTCACCTGCCACTCTGATCCACTGATCCCCCCTTCACACACACACACACACACACACACACACCACACACACACACACACACACACACACACACACACACACACACACACACACACACACACACACACACACACACACACACACACACACACCACACACACACACACACACACACACACACACACACAGGGCTGTCCCTCCCTACAGGCAGATCACGCAGACTGTGTGGGGCCTCACCTCGCGGAGGGGGCCTCATCTTGCGCAATTAGTGTTGCGCGGCACGATTTCGCCGCGGCGAGGCTCCACTAGCGTTTTCAGGGAATGATCGTATAGGGCGTACACACGGAGCCGCAAGCGTTTCGTCCTCAGACCAACCCACTTTTTTCAGCGTGTATCGGATTCGGACTCCGAATACGCGTTTCCGTGTCGGCCTCGTGTGGACGAACCTTCTATACGATAGAGAAGGTTAGCGGATTCAACTGACATCGTCTCTGTATGGACGCGGCCTTATTCCGGTGAGAACGCAATGTACTAGGACAGTTCCAGGGACTAAAGCGTTCGGGGGGAACAAGTACCGGGGACAAGTGACGGCTAAGTACTTGGTGTGAAAGCGGCTAATGCCACCAGTGGAGAAAGGTGCAGGAAACTAAAGTAGCCTATGCAATGTATGATAATTGTGCAAATTGCCCAACACATGCAAGTGAGCATCCAGCAGTTTATTTGTGCTTTGGACCTACAAGTCTATGCTTTGGACCCATACTATACATTTATATCACAAAACTTCGGGGTACCTCAAAAGTGATTTCAGACAACTTTTAACTCCACTTTAACTATAGCTTTTGTTGCTTTGCAGATTCACTCATCTCAAATGTAAATGTTACCCTGAATTACAATATGCATAATATCATAATATGTTTTAAGACTAGAATATGCCCCACCATCATCAGCTGCAGTATGAAGTCAGGAACACATTAATGCCTCATTAATCTAACAATATGTGTGTTTAGTTGGTAGGCTACTTTGACTTAAAGTAGGTTTTGATAGTATGCATTTGTACAATTTTGAATGGAGGGCTTTAGCTGGTTACAGTATTTGTACTGTAGTATTACTTATTTTACTTATGGAAAACTGAATACTTGTTCTACTCATGAATGTGACAGAAACTCAAGATGTTTAAAGAGAGGTGATCAAAACTTGGAAAGAAATTGTATGTGATATGATAGTTGGATAAGCAATAGCCATATTAAGTTTTACACTTGCAATATCCAGTTTTTCCCATTACAGATTATTGGTTATTTAATTAATACTAGTGCTGTCAAAATTATCGCGTTAACGGCGGTAATTAATTTTTTGAATTAATTGCGTTAAAATATTTAACGCATTTAACGCATGTGCAGAATGGCCCGCCCCATACGTGCCACCAGTGGCAGCGCCAGGGTATGGCTGGGGTAGGCTACACCCATACCAATAAATGGCTTAGCCCCACCATGAAAAATGATGTTAAAGTAAGCGAAATAAAGTCTGCCAACTCGCGCGGAGTAAATTGCACAGACAGCTGTTAGTAAGATTGATTTCAGCAGCCACGGTTTTGAAAACTTTTGTCACGTAGTGATCGTCTTCTCAATAGAACATCTTTGATAACGGCGTGGTGTTGTTGCAGGAAGTCCCGACGGAGAATACTTTTGCTGTAGTACGGGGTGCACATAACTGGTACGCAGGTTATGTGCGTAATCTGAAATGCGTACCGTCACTTGTGTCACAAAGCGCATTTGCGTACCGACGTACTTGTGAAGCTTTTCCAGAAGGCGGTTAGATCACCCGACGACAGATTCGGTCTCCGTGTGCACAGACAGGTGCTGTTAACGTCGGTCTGTACAACGGAATTGTGCCAAAACTACGCCAACCGGCTGCGGAGGGAGACTCCCCCCCTTCACTGGAGAACTGCGCTAAAACAGCTGATCACAACGTTCACACTCTGTGGTCACGAAGTACTCCACTAGCCGCCGCCGCCCCCCCCCCCCCTCTGTCGACTTTCCTGAAGTACTCCCCCGTTGATAGAAATCAACACGTAATGAATTAAGACCCCACGGTTTGATGATTGATAGGTGTGTGGGTTGTCTTTCATTTTGACACGCAGAAAAATGTTTTAATAAACATAGATACTGTATGTTAAATGGATATATCCGCCTTCTTTCATTTATCTTTCCACTCCCACAAAAATATACATAAATAAATGGCATATTTTGGACATAGTTCGAATGGTGATTAATCATGATTAATTAATTTTAAAGCTGTGATTAATCTGATTAAAAATTGTAATCGTTTGACAGCCCTGATTAATACATAAGCATTTCAAATTATATAATATATATATTCAGAATGTAATTAAATCAAATATTCCTAATTTTCTCATTAGAGCCTAACCAACAACTCACTGTACACTTCCTCTGCTGCCTCTCCTCTGAGCAGTGAGCACTGATCACCCCTCATACGTCACGGTGACTTTCATCGTGGTTTCACTTCAGGAACGCACGGAAGGTCGCAGACAGCACGTGAAATGATGCTGTTGCTGCTTTGAATTCTTCACATTTCACTCCATGTTGTAGCCTATGGTTGTAGCTACTGCAGGTTTATTTTGACATCTTATCCCAGAAAATCCTGCGTGTCGACATTCACACACTCACACATACACACATTAGACAAGCCTTTACTATATACAGGGCAGGGTTCTTACGGTCATTAAAAACCTGGAAAAGTCATGGAAATTCAAAAAGCTAATTCCAGGCCCTGGGAAAGTCATGGAAAACAATATTTTTCCCAAAGTTTTGGAAAAGTCATGGAAATGTAACTAAAGTTGCATCAAATATAATTTATATTTTATCTAATCACCGAAATAGTAATACTATAATGATAATAAATACTGTATCGCATAGTAATGAAACGTAAAATGGCATTTAACTGACGAGGTGTTTTGCTGGTGAGAGATTTTAGTTGCTTTAGCGCGTAGAAGCTAGTAAGCCTACTATTTGATTTGTTTTAGATAGGCACAACATGTTTCAGATGCAGACCTTATTTTCCTGTTCCATGTTAAAATAAACCATTTTCAGTGGTACCGCTGAGAAAGAATAATGTTTTTGGTCATGGAAAATTAGGTAAAGGTCATGGAGAAGTCATGGAGAAGTCATTGAAAATCATTGGTGAAAAAGTGTATGAACCCTGACAGGGCCTTCACAAGACCTTCACTCTTTTGGTCTGTCCCTGTCATTTAAAAGGTTTACCAAATTCATGGTTACCAAAGAGCCACTCAAGGAATTTGGGCTTATTCAGCATTCAATCACCAGGCTTTGGTTCTGAAGCCTAAAAAACCCAGACCCTGTCCCATGCCCCCCTAACACTGACTTTGGACCCCCCCTGAAAATGAAAAAAATAAATTGTTTATGATTAAACGATTTCTTGGCTGACGGAATAGGCGTAACTAACGCTATTTGTCATTCTAGTCGGACCCATTATTTTCCTAGTATTCTTCTTATCCCCTTGTATATTGGCATGTGTGCTATCTGTTCTCTCTAACACCTGGATGTGTCAACTGGGATCAATAAAGGCCCACCTGGTCTTAAATGTGCTCTCACTAACCTTTACACTGATGTCACCTGTGGTGTCCCTCAAGGATCAGTTCTCAGCCCCACTCTATTCACACTCTACATGCTCCCCCTTGGCTCTATCATCAGCCGACATGTTACGCTGATGACACCCAACTGTACCTCAGGATCAACCCTACCTCCTCTGCAGCCCTGCCTTCACCCACACTCACTGACTGCCTGGAGGAGATACAGGCGTGGATGAAGCAACACTTCCTGAAACTCAACAGCTCCAAGACCGAAGCCATTATAGTTGTCACCCCACACCAGGTTCGGTCATCCACCATCACCTTCTCCGGCCAGGACATTACCCTCTCCTCTACAGTCACCAACCTGGGTGTGAAAATGGACGCCCATCTGACCTGTGAGGCTCACATTAAACAACTGTGCAAGAACTCCTATCACCTCAGGAATATCGCCAAACTCCGCCCCACACTCACTGACAAAAGCATCCAGAAGCTCCAGTACATTCAAAACAGCGCTGCTAGGATCCTGATGAGGGTGCGCAAATACGATCATATCACCCCCATCCTTAAATCTCTACACTGGCTCCCCGTGGAACTGAGGATTGAATACAAGGTCTCCCTCCTCACCCACCAGTGTATCCATGGAACTGCACCCCCCCCCTACCTCAAGGAAGTCCTCACCCCCCATACCTCCTTGCGCACCTCTCGCTCCAGCAATACCAACCTCCTCAAACCCCCCAGGACCAAGCTCCGTACTATGGGAGACCGGGCCTTCTGCTCGGCTGCTCCCAGTCTGTGGAACGCTCTCCCCGACCACATGAGAGCACCACAGACCGTGGAGGCTTTTAAAAAAGGCCTCAAAACCCATCTATTCAATAGAGCCTTTTCCTAGACCTTTTATCTTATTTATTTATGTATTTAAAAAAAAAAAAAGTATTGCTTTTTATTCATTCTACCGTGTTGTGTACTGTTTTATTTTGTTTCCATGCTAAATGCGTGTAGCACTTCGGGATCTGAACTTAGATATGAAGTGCGATATACATTAAACCCATTATTATTATTATTATTATTATTATTATTATGTTTGGAAGGCTGTTGGGAACAACACACATATACTGCTTATCTCTGTTTGGCACATGAAATAAAGAAGTGTCAATAGATAAACTATACTGATCAACCACCACAGCAACAGCGAATACATTTCACATGATACTTTTTTATTTGACACAAAGTGAGAGTGAAGAATCAGGGAGAGTGGGAATACAAAGACGTGGACGATCAGCTGCATCCTAAAGACAGAGAGCAGAGCATCGGGTTTTAGGTTTAGATTTGACATCTTCACAGAATGTTGCAGAATACAAAAACAGCTATATTGGCAATATAGATATCCAATTACAAAAATCATGTTATACTGTATATATTTCATTCTAGTATGATCAAAACAAACAAACACTCACATACCATTGTGGGGGGGTTATTCCAGGCCATTCCTCACTCTGTACTCATGTAGATCTGCACTGTTCTGCTTAAAGAGCTGGGGGGGGGGGGGGGGGAGGACAGTAACAACAAGCCATTTATTAGTATTATCCCATGTTGAATTGGATACTTCTTCATATTCTAATACATCATCTCTACTTCTTCTCTGTCTGTCCGATTGGCAATAACTGAGTGTGTATCCTCAATGGCTTCAGATCATATGAATCACTTTGTTAGCTTCTTATTGCCACCAGAGGCCTGTACTACGAAGCCGGATTTTCGCTTAGCCGGCTAACTTCAGGGAAAACTCTGGGTTTCCGGTCCTACGACGCTGGTTCTCTTTTTAGCGGGCTAGATCTCCATGGTAACTTATGCTGAACGGCTAGCCTGGGGCCTATACTACGAATCAGGATTTTCGTTTAGCAAGATAACTTCTGGGATTTCCGGTCCTACGAAGCTGGTTCACTTTTTAGCGGGCTAGATAACTTATGCTGAACGGCTAGCCTGCGCCGGAGCAGGATAGGTTCCAGGATAAGAGATCAACTGTGCGGAGTTCTTCTTCTTCTTTGCTTTAATGGTGAATCGCTTCCACTTGGAGCATATCGCCACTATACTTTTGATTTATTTAATGTATAAACTGCCCATATTGTTCTTGTAGAACAGTGTTCACGTAAGCCTGCACATTGATTTTATTTTTCATTGAATGTAACCGTTTCAATAAGGATACATCTATTATAGGTTGAGGTAGAAACCATGGTGGAACAGCTGATAACAACAGTGTGCAGAGTTTAAAGCGATCAAGTCATATTACAAGATAAAGGAAATACAGTTTAAACTGCCGTTGCAGTTCAAATCACCGACTGTGAGAACGTGAAAATGAATAGAATATCACCTCCCATCTTCAGAGCAATCTGACTATTATAACTTTAGCGTTAAGAAAGCTTACTTAAATATCTGCCACAACATAACGGATCAGAGTAACATTACGTTGCCTACAGTCCGCGGCACTGTGAGTGCAGACGTCGATGTGTCCCATTATCATTCATATCACTTCATAATGTATCATATATTTCCTTATCTGAGTCAGCTGAGCCGTATCTGGCCGTGCAACACTCACAGTGTCACATACTGTATGCAGAAGTATTATTTTAAGCAACACATTAAGTTGACGAAACACTCGAGTCAAATGTAATTAAAGTCAGATCGTGTTTTAGACGGGGCAGTGATATCATAAACCTGTTAATGTACGCATTCAAACACTTTTTCTGTTACCAGCTGTATTCACCTTGCAGGTGCAGCTATGTGGCTTTTATCCTGGATAAAGTGTTTAAGTCATGGATGTTTAAAGTTTAACTTCTTCATATTTTGACTCATATGACGCTGCGCTGTCAGTACGCTTCTCCATGTTTGTGATTGGTCGAATGCTCCAAATACCACCCCTTTCATGTGAACGTGCACCTAACTAGATAGGAAACGGCTGGCTTGAGCGATTCACTTGATAACCAGCGTCGTAGGACCGTTTAGCAAGAGTGCGTTTGTTCTGGATTAGGCCAACCGGCTAACTCAAACATATCCAGGTTATGTTGAACCGGCTTCGTAGTATAGGCCTCTGGAATCAAATCAAATAACATCAATAACAAAATAAGGGGGATACTGGGAACCCGAGAACCCCACAGACCAAATGCCACTTGAAAATGCTTTGCCTCATGAAGATAATTGTATAGAATACATAAATGAATAGATACATTGAAAAATTAAACATACAAAATAAAGAAATAATAAACATTAAAAAAAGCATTCAACTGTTTGCTGCCCTTTCCTGGGCAAAGCAAACAGTGGAAATACTTTGAGATCCAGTCAATGCTGAATGGTGCTCAAATGTTTCCCTCAGCTACAGGATTCAGAAAACTATTTGGCTGAAAGACAAACTTATCTTGATAGGAAGGCCGATGACATGCATTGCGTGCTTGGTGTATGAACAGAGTTTGGTATTCATACAATAAGACGGAGATAAGCTCCTAAGCGTCAAACAAACTGAGTGAGTTTACTGTAGCACTATGCCAACTAATGATGGTCTTTATAAAAGGGTATCTGTAAACTGGTGTGGTTCTTTACCAGGCCCCACAAGAAAGCAGTTGATCCAAAGGCAAGGCCCACTCTGATCCAGTTAGGTTTAGAAATGTCCACTTTGGAGCTTTGGAAAATAGACCTGGATCCAACTGCAAAACACATGAAAATAACAAGAAAAACGGGGCCGTTAATCATTTGAAATGAACATGGACCGCACTGGCAGTCAGTACTTAAAAGTGACATCATTGTGAGAAGAAGGAAGTCTTGCAGACATATAAGAGATGACTTTACAACATTAATAAAACCATGCCCTTCAACTGGCCATATTCCATTTGAATCACAGCAACTTGTTAGATGTATGTTACTGTGTGCTTTAGTGGATCTGTGTATCTTTGGTTTTAAATGAGTGTTTTTAAATGTCAATTATTAATGCTCTTAATGTCTTTCATTTTTGTAAAGCACTTTGAATTACCTTGAAATGTGCTATTTAACTAAACTTGCCTTGCCTAATGTTGGAATGAAGTCTTCTTTCAGATGTGTTAATTGCGTTAATATTAATAAGAAGAAGAAGAAGCGAGTTAGCATTACATTGCACAAGCCTCTTAAATAAATGTGTCGTGAGAACACATTTCATGGGAGAATGGTAAAGGTCAAATGGTTGTATCATTCTTACTGTTACACTATATACGCATTTAAAGAAAATATTAGCAAATAGTTGTAATCAAATTCACTTTAGGGAATAGTAAAGCTCCTGTGTGACTACAGTGCTACATGAATGCTAAGCTAAGGTCAGGCTTCATAACAAATACAGCGTTAACGTTGTACAAAACAAGACAAAACCCGGCTCTTTCAAAATCATAACCTTTTTTTTATTACCGCGATGTGACAATCTTACCTTTGCTAACAAGAGCAGCTCTAGATAATAACCGGGTGAAAGACATTTTAGCTTAACAACAGCTCCCTTCAACCGATCTGTGATCCTGACACTCTGCGGTTGATTACATTTCCTGGAAGGATGAGTGGAATGGATGATTCAAGATCGCCGATACATCGATCTAACCTTCTTATGTTTGCTGTCACTTAAAATAGTTGGTGTTTTAAACTAAAATCACTGTTAGTGAGTTTTAGCGCAATTCGCTTAAAAAAAATAAAAAGGGATATGGAATTTGGTTGGCAACTGTCGACAAAACTGGACATAGGAGCGTAATGATGCACTGACTCTACATTTAACATAATAAAATATGTAGGCCTACTATTTTGGAACATAACAGATACATTTGCTATGTGTGTATTTATTCGTATACATATTATTTATTCACATTACGTGTTGACCCTGCTCGCTTGGTGCTCCTCACGCAGACTCAGACAGCAGCCCTGCGGTGACCCGGAGGAGAAGCACATCGGCCATTTTTGCTCGGAAGGGGGCCTGGGCTTCAACACGTGAGAAGAGGAGCCTGAACAGTCCAGGATCTCTGACTCCAAGAGGATATTATTCATGTGTGAACCGACAGATGCATAGGAAGCCACCACAATGCCCACAATCACCCTGCCGCCGAAGGAGAATGCTCTCTTCAAGAGAATATTGGTAGGCTAATGCCTGAGTTAGCGTTAGCTCGCTGGCTAATGCTAGTTTACCAAGTAGCCGTCAGTTATAGCAGTAGCTAGGAAGCCGCTAGTCAATAACAAAACTGTTCCGAACACCAAACGTACTTTCACTGTCTCTGTTATTAACACGTAGAATTAACATTGCAAGGAAGAAAGCAAGCCGTGTAGGGTCCTAGCTATGCGTTAGCCTTCCAACACACCAAAGTATATGAATGGAAGCTCCACACATGACAGCTTTAGAAGTGAGGGACAGTGGAGTGAGCTGTGCAGTTACAGGCTGCTCTGCACTGTGCATAAAGTGTTTATGTGGCCAAAATAGTTCAGTTTAGTTCAGATTTCACCGCAAGCCAACTTTCACTTAGCAATTAAACTGTTCACCTAGCCTTTTTACCAAATTACATTTAAGCACAAGTCTATAACCCAATGATTTGATGCCACATTTAAATTGGGCATATCTTTTTAACACACACAAGACTGAAATAGTTAAGTGGTAATCACAATATTGAGTCGTTGACGGTATACATGACATTTACATTCAAGTTATAGTACTAGCAATTAATTAATAGAATATAGCATCAATTCACTAATATTTATTTGTGAGTGTGTTCTTTACTTTGTCAGTCAGGAAACTGAGGGTCAGCTTGTCTTATGACATTTCATACACAGCCTCCATCTTCAGTTATATTTCCTCTTCTTTGCTTTAATGGCGAGTGTTCTCTTTCCTCAGTTTTACACTATCATGCTAAATGCACCTGCCAGGAAGGCTGTGTCCACTCTAGGGTTAGGTATTGGTCCCTGGACCACAGTGTCAGCACTTGGCATATTATTACATGTTGCACCTGAACCGGCTGTCTGGGATCAGGCAGGCTGTTGTCCTCACATGTGAAGTCTGCTTTGTCTGTTGTTGCAGAGATGCTACGAACACAAGCAGTACAGAAACGGCCTGAAGTTTTGCAAACAGATCCTGGGGAACCCAAAGTTTTCTGAACATGGAGGTAAGACACCAGCTGCTTCATTCAACAGGACTTTTGAATGTGCTGTACTCAGTCCTTTCAGGTGGATAAACTATGCAACAGAAGTACTGCTTCTAAACTACTTCAAACATATATCTTGGGTGTTTCCCAGCTGTAACGTCTTGTGTTACAGGAGCAGCAGTGTGTTCAGGCATTACAATATTATAAACATTTAATAAAGTATAGACAATAATACATAAAATCTAAAAATAAGCAGCAAATATAAACATATCTACAGTAAAAAATACATTCATCACAAATAAAACACTATACAATATTCTGGATAAATTAAAATGATCTATAAAAGACCAAAACAACTGCAGTAACAGAAATATAAGGCGCTTTCACACTGCGGTACTTTTCCCACAAAGGTTCATGTGAACTTAGTTCATGTGAACTCTTTTATCGCGTTCACACCAAAAAGAGCCGGTACTAAAATTAGTTCATGTGAACCTTTTTACCCCCTCGAAAGTCCCTGCTAGAGAGCAGGGACTTTCGAACGGCTCTTTTGTGAGAAAAGAGCTACATTTCTGATTGGCTGGAAGGATTGCAAACCACGCCCCGCAAAACTCCCAAAAAGTTTTGTGAATCCGCCATTTTATTATCCTAGCATTAGCATTATTAGCATTAGCATTAACCCAGCGCAGAAACGCAGAGAGACTAACTTATGGCAACACAAAATAAAACATGGGAGTGGTGGAGATGAGGAGGTGTCGGCGTTCTGGCGATTTACTCGGAAGGCTTCAGTAGAAGCTGCTGGGAGTCCCAGCAGCTTCTACTGAAGCCAGTCCCTAACTCCGGGGACTTCGGGCGGCAGTATACGCCGTGAAGTGAAGTGTTTGCGGCCTGCCGGTAAACCCAAAGCAGAAGAAGAACAAGTGACGTCAGCGGCTTCATTTGCCTAATCCACCCCCAGGGACTTTTTCCAGTGTGAACGCGATCTGTACTTAGTTCATGAGAACTAAAGAGTTCTCATGAAACTAAGTTCACATGAACCTTTGTGGGAAAAGTACCGCAGTGTGAAAGCGCCTATAGATTTATACTCCAGAGCAAAGATATATATATATATATATATATATATATATATATACACATATACCATATACATGAGATAGTTTATAAATTGCAGAAGTACAAGGTGGCTGTTGTGTGAATTGTTGTTGGTTATGGAGCGGGAGGAAACTATAACTAGGGCAGCGAGTTCTCTGCCACCCAGAGGTGAGGTGACTTCCTGTATCTGAGCTGGAGCTGGAGCCTGTTCTGTTGGATACCATGCCATGTTTAACATGTTGGGTATTAATGGCACAGGGAGGAACTGCAATAACCGTCATGTCTATATATTTGATGTCAGCAGTGATTATTCATTAGAACTCAAACGTCTTCTATTAAGCTAGCAAGCAAACTAAAGCCATCATTTAAGAAGAAATAAAGAGCAATGTTAACCCTCTTTACAACTGTTGTTGCTGAATGTGTCCCCCCCCCCCCCCCCCCCCCCCCCCTCTGTGCTGCAGAAACGCAGGCACAGGAAGGGTTTAAACCCTCAACTGTCTGGGCAAGAAGGAGGATGCGTACGAGCTGGTGAGACGAAGGCCTGCGCAAACGACCTGAAGAGCCACGTCTGTATCCTTCCTGCAGCAAACACAGCACTCCCCCCCCAATTCAGCTTCATTTCTATCTGTTTGTTTACATGTGTAAGCGCACCTGGATAGTGCACTTGCTGTTTTTCTTTGCTTTCCTGAACTTGCTCTTCCTCCAGGCTGGCACGTGTACGGCTTGCTGCAGCGCTCAGATAAAAGTACGACGAGGCCATTAAATGTTACCGCAACGCTCTGAAGTGGGACAAGGACAACCTGCAGATCCTGAGAGACCTCTCTCTGCTGCAGATCCAGATGAGAGACCTGGAGGGCTACAGGGTGAGGGGGATGTGTGTGAGAACAGTAGCTTCCAGATGAGAAGTTGGGGGGAGGGGTTAGGCAGGGGCAGACGGTTACCCATCCTCCTGTACAGGGGGTACAGTTTATTTGGTGAAGAGAAGACAGAGGACCAGTGAACTCACTGCCTGGTGGACAGTATCATGAGATGCATGTCGGTACTGACATGTTGCTGCTTGTCTCCTCTGCAGGAGACCCGGGTACCAGCTGCTGCAACTGCGTCCGGCCCAGCGCGCCTCCTGGATCGGGTACGCTGTAGCTTATCACCTGTTGGAGGACTTTGAGATGGCCGCCAAGATTGTTGAGGAGTTCCGCAAAACACAGCAGGTAGACCAAAGCTATAGACCGCTCAACAGAGCTGTACACATTTCATCACAACTGATATAGAAGAACCGCACACATTAGACTTTTGTACTGCGTCAAAGCCGCAGGATCTGGGGGTTACTTTGTTTTCAGAGGCGCTGAGACAGGACAAGCCTTACGTTTGCTATGCAACCATTACCAGCTAACCATATGATACGAATATCTTCAGGGTGTTATTACATTATTAAAGTGGAGCTAATTAATGATGTGTGATATTCTAGCAGAGGTGCTCGGAGAAAATGAATATAAGTTCAAACACTGTCTGATCTGAAAGTCAGGGTAACGACAGACCAGAAATGAGCACGCATAAAACATGTGTCCAGCCCCTCACTTAAAGCAAGTCGGAAATAACAGATTTGTTTATAAAACTCCAGTCATCATCACAACGTTCTTCAAAAGGGTTCAAATAGCTAGGGTAAAGAAATAGGTGTTCAATAACTTGTAATAAATCATAAGCTGCCATTGATTGTGTCGTTGAGTTGCTACCATAACATTGAACTGACTATGCATCACAGAATCCATCTTCATCTATGCTTGAAGAAATATTAGTTCAAGCCAGCCAAAATGCTGAGTAAGGGTTTTAAATCCTCTGCTGAACACTTTACTGTGTGTGTGTGTGTGTGTGTGTGTGTGTGTGTGTGTGTGTGTGTGTGTGTGTGTGTGTTGTGTGTGTGTGTGTGTGTGTGTGTGTGTGTGTGTGTGTGTGTGTGTGTGTGTGTGTGTGTGTGTGTGTGTGTGTGTGTGTGTGTGTGTGTGTGTGTGTGTGTGTGTGTGTGTGTGTGTGTGTGTGTGTGTGTGTGTGTGTGTGTGTGTGTGTGTGTGTGTGTGTGTGTGTGTGTGTGTGTGTGTGTGTGTGTATGTGTGTGTGTGTGTGTGTGTGTGTGTGTGTGTGTGTGTGTGTGTGTGTGTGTGTGTGTGTGTGTGTGTGTGTGTGTGTGTGTGTGTGTGTGTGTGTGTGTGTGTGTGTGTGTGTGTGTGTGTGTGTGTGTGCGTGTGCGCGTGTGTGTGCGCGCGCAGACGTCTCCGGATAAGGTGGACTACGAGTACAGTGAACTGCTCCTGTATCAGAACCAGGTTCTGAGGGAGGCGGGTCTGAACAAGGAGGCTCTGGATCACCTGAACA